GAACCCCCTGCACAATCTCTATATCCCGCCTCAACTTCAGGAACTCATTAGTCCCCATTCATCATGCATCAACAGCAACTCGACCTCCGACGAGGCTGACGAGCAACAACTATGCGTCATCAACGAGAGGAAGCAAAGGAGGATGATATCAAACCGGGAGTCCGCGCGCAGGTCACGTATGCGCAAACAAAGGCACCTCGACGAGCTATGGTCTCAGGTAGTCTGGCTCCGGAACGAGAACCACCAGCTCATCAATAAGCTGAACCATGTCTCGGAGAGCCACGACAAGGTCGTCCAAGAGAATGCTCAGCTCAAAGAGGAAGCCTCTCAACTCCGTCTGCTACACTCCGATATGCAACTCACTAGCCCTTACTTGACTTTACGAGACCTCGAGAACGCTTTAGCCGACGACTGAGAGTCGTAAACCCTGTTTCATCCCCCAAATTTTATCCAGTCCGTTTGGTGTAGGTGAACCAGTACTCTCTGTGCCTAATTTGCCGCTGCATAGCTTTCTAAGATTGTATAAGATTTGAAGGCAATGAGAATAACATGTTTGATCATTTCATTTCATCTTCATTTGAGTCCCTAATAATTGTTTAAATGGCCTCATAGGTACTCATATTTTCATACTTTTCACCCAACATGTTAAAGTCCCTAATAATTGTTTAAATGGCCTCATAGGTACTCACATTTTCATACTTTTCACCCAACATGTTAAACCTGGACTGAAATATAAGAGGTAAATTTGTGAGGTCAGGTGTACTGTGAAAAGGGGGCATAAGTGGCATCAGGTGGGGGAAGAGTAGGACTGAAATGACACAAAGGGAAAGTGGTGGGGCATAAGAGAGACTCACTACTATAAAAGGAAAATACTATAAGATTCTTGCTTAAGACGGATCTTATGATTATTATTTTATGATTTTCACTTTCTCTTGCGGATTGGTGTTAGACCTAATATCATGATGGTTATTTGTAAGTTAAAGGTTAAATAGATCCGTTTCATATAATAAATTCAATTGATATATCATATGAGTCTGTCAATAGAATAAAGAGACTATAATCATCTGGAGGATATGAAACTCCGAAACAGAAGATTTTTGAAACTTCGAAAAGTCTTAATAAATAAAAATCGACAATAGAAATATAATATACCGAGGGGGGGGGGCTCCCGGGAAGGTACAACAAAATCCATGAAAAATAATGGAGTTCTTGCTAGCTCAATTGCTAAATCAATTCCCAAGAGTTTGCATTGGTTGGCAATGGGGCTAGTGAAATTGGGAACCCTACCAAGTACCATCTGGCCTGGTAATACAAAATCAGTGGACAAATCAAGGCATGTCTTGGGCCTTGGATACATAATAATAAGCATAAATTTCATGTTTAATACCTAGACTATTAGTTTTAGTTCACTTTAGTATCTAAACTTTTAATTTTTTTTAATACCATACTAATGTTTAGCTTTTTGTTTCATTTTAGTACCCGCAGTTAAAAACTTTAGTTTTTGTTTCATTTTAGTACCTCGTTCAAAATTTAAAGTTAAATTTTGATTTTTTTTGAAAGTTTAGGTATTAAAACGGATCAAAACTGATAGTTTAGATACTAAACTCATTAAGTTTTTAACGGTGGGTACTAAAACGAAATGAAAACTAAACGTCAGATATGGTTTTGAAACAAACAAAAATTAAACTAATAAAACGGACAAAAAATGATAATTTAGATAATAAATGCATGGTTTACCCTATATAATAATCATCCAAGTATCATCTTCATTAGGGGTGTTCATTCGATTAATTCGGTGGCCGAACCGACCGAACTACTATTTTTGAATTAATCGAAATTTTTTTTTCTTTAACCGTTAACCGAACCGAACTTTTTTTCGAAAATATTAACCGAACCGAATAAATTTCGGTTAATTCGGTTAATTTTCGAATTAACCGAAATTTTTTAGAATTTTAGAATTTAATAATTTTTAATTAAAAAAATACAATTAATTTAAATAATATCTAATTATAAATAATATCTAATTAATTTGATTCAAACATTTTGCATTTAGTTTTGATATTATTTTAATTAATTAATATTGATTTGGGTTTTAAATGGATTGGGCATCTTAATATAATTATATTTAAAGGTTAATTTGGTTAATTAACCGATTTCGAACCGAATTAACCGTTAACCGAATTCTAAAAAAATCCTTAACCGTTCTCCGACCGAATTAATTCGGTGGCCGACCGAATTAACCGAACTAATTCGATTCGATCGGTTAATTCGGTTAAAACCAAATTTTGAACACCCTAATCCTCATGATGATATAAGATGGGTGCAGTCATTCATTCATACAATACAAAGAATCCACTTTGACAATGGAAAACAACAACTATAATTTATGTATTAACGGTATTCAATGAAATAGAGAATACAAGGAAATACAACAATGGTAATTAATATAATAGTGAACATTGGGTTAAACTATTTTAAATACTACTGAATTTGAAACTTTTAACTATTTTATTATTAAATGTTAATGTTTGGACTTGAATTTAGCATTAGACTGTTAAATCGTTGATAGTATGATTATATGTCGATTTTCTTTCTCGTTAATTTTAATTTGTGTATTGATTTTGTCATTAAACTTTAAAATACTTTGATTTTAAGCTATGTTGCACTGATACGGATATGGGGACGGAAAACGGAAATTCTTAAAATTACAGGATACGGGGACGACAAGGGTACGTCATATAATAAAAATTAAATTATAAATAGATATAAAAAATCATAAATAAAGTTAATATTTCACAGAAAATTAGAAAAAAAAATCCATAAGTAAATATTAGAAAATAAAATTCATAAATTCAATACTTCATAAAAAATTTGAAACCCTAAGATTTGGGAATTTTGACCTAAATCTCTAAATTATTTATGTGACCAAATTGTAATTATTGTAAATCATGTAACCTGTTTCATAAACTCTAAAATATTTGAGGACTAACTATGAAGTTATACCATTTTTATTATAATCACAAATCTCTGACTTTGTTTTAACGTTTTGCTGCACCTTCTTTTTTTTTCCTTCGATGATTCACGAATCCTCGTCTGTCATCCCGTAAACTCATATCTCGTCGTGCCGCCATCATTCTTAGGATCATCTTCCAAAAGCCTCCACGTTATGACCCCAACCCTCACCGTCGACGTGGACCGTGTTGATACAAAACCCGTGAGCTTTGACTCTCATTCTCCGTCATCGTGGGTCGATTCGGCCGCATGGGGACACATGTGATAGTCACATGCCGTCCCCGAAACGTCCCCGGGTAAGCATCAAAACATCCCCAAGTTTGTTCAACCGTACCCCCGCCATGTGGCACGTCCCCAGTACGTACCCATGTCGTTCCCGTGTCGGGGACGTATCGAGTACTGAAATGTGGGAAGCAGTGTCGTCCCCGTGCTTCATAGATTTTAAGCATTGAACTCTTTAGCCTTTGCTGGATGTTAATTGTCACTCAACAATATCAATAGCAAAGTACTCATATTTAACTCGTCTTTCTTTTTCTCATATTGTTCTTTCATGAACTCCCTTAAAATCGACGAAAATATATATGAAGGTTTGATGTGTAAATATTTCAATATCTTTTGACAATTTTTTGATGAGGTTAATTTTGAGATATGTTGTTATTTTTTTCGAAAAAAATGCTTCTCACTATTTGAATTTTCAAACAAATATCTCAAATACTCAAATTTTATAAAATCTAAACTGACAAAAAGATAGAAAAAAAAATAAGTTCGTTAATATATAAGGTGATTTCAAAAAATATCAAAGAATAATTATTTACGATAATGAACTACAAGATAAAAAAAATCATAACTTTAATAAATAAAATGATGAAGTGAAATGAAAAACATATCTTTTAAGTTTCACGTCAATAATAAATTATCACGTCATCAGATCAATTTAATACTCTCTCCGTCTTATTTTTATTGTTCATTGTTGACTTTTCACGTAATTTTAAGAAGAAAATTTTAAAATGATAATTTTATTCTAGAAAAGATAAAAAAAATTATTGAGAAACTAAAAAAAAAAAGGTAGAAATGAAAATATACCTAGTAAAAATTGTTGATTTTTCTAAATTGGCAATTTAAACGGAATAATTTTAAAACACAAAATAGACAAGTTAAATGGGACAGAGGGAGTACTCAAAATAAATTTTACAGTAAATTTAATTAATTTAAAATTCAGTAGTAAAATTAATATAAACATTGATAAGTTAGGGGTGTAAACGAGCCGAGTCAAGCTCGAGTATTGCTGAGCTTGACTCGACTCGAAAACTCTGAAATGAAGCTCGACTCGACTCGAAAACTCACGAGTTTAAAATTTTTAAGCTCGACTCGAACTCGAAATCCTGAACTGAAGCTCGTGAGCAGCTCGAAATGAAAAAAAAATTCTTAAACTTAACAAGATTAAATCCTTAAACTCAAACTCGAACCTGAATCTTAAATACATGAAAGCCTTATTGTATTTAAAAATAATCAACACATAAATATTAATATTATTAATAATTTATTTTTTAAAAATAGATTCTTAATATATTATATTTTCGAGCTGCTCACGAGCTTTTCGAGTCGAGTATTAAGTAGCTCGTTTCGGCTTGTTAAGAATTCTAGTCGAGCTCGAGTTCGAATCGAGTCCATTCAATCCGAATATTTATCGAGCCTTGATTGAGTCGACCTCGAGTTGTCTCGTCTCATTTACCGCCCTAACCTAAACATCAATACACACATTATCTTTTCTTGTTTAAAAAAGGGGTAATTTCATTGTGTACTTGATAAATTGTAGATCATTGGAAAAGTTGAGTTAAATTGGTTGAAATTTAGGCGGAGTCCATGTGACAGAAACAAGAATGGTAAATTGTCACTGTGAAGGTTGTTTCACCGACCGCCAATAGTAGTTGAGATTAGCCAAATTTGACCAACCGGCTCTTGGCATTTAATTCCTTTTTTTTCTTCCCTTTTATACACAATCCATTGTCTATTTTGTTTCAAAGCTCAGATCTTTGATTCATCCCGGTCCTCTTCTTTATCACAACAGTGAAATATTGAAAGGTTTGGGTTCCTTTTCTTATGTTGAAATCTCAATAAAGTTTGAAACTTTTTTATCTGTTGGTTTGATCCCGCATGACTGTCTTTTTGGCCAACAGTTCTTGCACGAAATAGTTTCATTTTTGTTTTAAAATTTTTGTTATTAATTGAACGGATCTGCTTTTGCTAGATGTTCTCTGGGTTTCATGCTTGCAAGTTGAATGAGTTCAAGATTTAAGTTGTTAAAAGTGGTTCAGAATTAGGTTGTTCTAAATGTGCTCAGATTCAATTTTTTTAAATTAGGGTTAGTTGATGAGCTTGTAAAACATGAACATTTTAATGGGGATGAATCATCTTTTCTGATCTGTCTGTAAATGATTTAGTGGTATACAGTAAGTTTGATTAGGGGAGAGTTTAATTCATTCATTAGTTGAATCTTCTATAAGAAAGGTATTGTTGAATCTCCTATATTTCATTCTAGTTTTGCATCTGTTAACTCTAGAAGTAACTGCAGAGCAACCGTTTTCGGGCATTGAATCAGATTTCTTTTGTCGAAACAGTCGACTTTTTGTCTTATAGATCTTAATTTGCGAACCGAAGTGGTACATTTTGCATGTAAGAGTTCATAGAAGGCGCCTGTTAGCTTATTTAGTCAAGAATTTCGATGGCTAAACATGACGAAAGGACCTTTTATAATGCGAGACTCATATTTTACCGGTTAACCTTATCTGGAACGTTTCAGATGGTCCGTGAGAACACAATTACTTTAGTGGTATTACAGTAAGTTTTGATTAGCCGGGGAGAGTTTAATTCATTCATTAGTTGAATCTTCTATAAGAAAGGTATTGTTGAATCTCCTATATTTCATTCTAGTTTTGCATCTGTTAACTCTAGAAGTAACTGCAGAGCAACCGTTTTCGGGCATTGAATCAGATTTCTCTTTTGTCGAAACAGTTGACTTTTTGTCTTATAGATATTAAATTGTGAACCAAAGTGGTACATTTTGCTTGTAAGAGTTCATAGAAGGTTCCTGTTAGCTTATTTAGTCAAGGATTTTAATGGCTAAACATGGCGAAAAGACCTTTTATAATGTGAGACTCACCTTTTACTGGTTAACCTTATCTGGAGCATTTCAGATGGTCCGTGAGAACACGATTACTTGTAGTGGTATTACAGTAAGTTTTGATTAGCCAAGGAGAGTTTAATTCATTCATTAGTTGAATCTTCTATAAGAAGGTGTTGTTGAATCTCCTATATTTCATTTTAGTTTTGCATCGGTTAACATTAGTAGTAGCTACTGAAGAATCATTTTTCGTCATTTAATCAGTTTTTCTTTTGTCGAAACAGTCAACTTTTTGTCTAATGGATCTTAAATTGCAAACCAAAGTGGTACATTTTGCATGTTAGAGTTCATAGAAGTGCCGGTTAGCTTATTTAGTCAAGGATTTCGACGGCTGTATCAGGAAAATGCCTATCACCTTTTACCGGTTAAGCTTATCTGGAATGTTTCAGTTGGTCTGTGCAGATACGATTACTTTTAGTTTTGCATATTTTAACATTAGAAGTGGCTTTAGAACAATCATTTTTCGGCATTTAATCGGTTTTTCATTTGTCCAAACTGTCGACTTTTTGTCCTATAGATCTTAATTTGTGAACCGAAGTGTTGCATTTTGCTTGTAAGAGTTCATAGAAAGAGTCGGTTAGCTTATATAGTCAAGGATTTTGATGGCTGTATCATGAAAGTGCCGTTGGCCATTTACCGGTTAACCTTATCTGGAATGTTTCAGATGGTCTGTGCGGACACGATTACTTTTAGTTTTGCACCTATCCATTGATGGTTTATATGCGTAAAAAGTTTTTTTTTTCTTGTTTTAGAATTTTCTTTGTTATCGAATCCTTTTTCCTTTGGCATCTCATTAATTATGTCAAAATTTAACAGGAAGAAATATGGCTTCACCTACAAGAATAGGGCTAGCCGGTTTGGCTGTTATGGGTCAAAATCTTGCGCTTAACATCGCTGAGAAAGGCTTCCCCATTTCTGTTTACAATAGAACCACCTCTAAAGTCGACGAGACTGTCGAAAGAGCTAAACAGGAAGGTGATCTTCCTGTATATGGTTTCCATGATCCTGAATCTTTCATTCATTCTATCCAGAAGCCTCGAGTGGTGATCATGCTTGTTAAGGCCGGGCCCCCTGTTGACCAAACCATTAAGACTCTTTCTGCGTACATGGAGAAAGGTGATTGTATCATCGATGGTGGCAACGAGTGGTATGAAAACACTGAGAGACGAGAGAAAGAGATGTCGGGACTGGGTTTATTGTACCTTGGGATGGGAGTGTCGGGTGGTGAAGAAGGTGCACGGAATGGTCCCTCTTTAATGCCTGGAGGGTCCTTTGAGGCTTACAAATACATTGAAGATGTTCTTCTTAAGGTTGCAGCTCAAGTTCCGGATAGTGGTCCATGTGTGACATACATCGGCAAAGGAGGATCCGGTAATTTTGTCAAGATGGTTCATAATGGAATTGAATATGGGGATATGCAGCTGATTTCGGAGGCTTATGACGTGCTGAAATCTGTAGGAAAATTATCGAATGAAGAACTACATAGTGTTTTCCGGGAATGGAACAATGGGGAGCTTTTGAGCTTCTTGATTGAAATCACTGCTGATATATTTGGAATCAAGGATGACAAGGGAGATGGTTATTTAGTCGATAAGGTTTTGGACAAAACCGGGATGAAAGGTACCGGTAAATGGACTGTACAGCAAGCTGCTGATTTGTCCGTTGCGGCTCCAACGATTGCAGCTTCTTTGGATTCAAGGTTCCTCAGTGGGTTGAAGGAGGAGAGAGTTGAAGCTTCCAAAGTCTTCAAATCAGGAGGATTTGACAATATCTTGACCGACCAAGTCGTGGACAAGGCGAAATTAATCGTCAATGTAAGGCAAGCACTTTATGCATCCAAGATTTGCAGTTATGCTCAGGGCATGAATCTCATTCGTGCAAAAAGCATCGAGAAAGGTTGGGACTTGAAGTTGGGGGAACTGGCTAGGATATGGAAGGGAGGCTGCATTATCCGAGCTATTTTCCTCGACAGAATCAAGAAGGCTTACGATAGAAATCCCGAACTTGCTAACCTTCTTGTTGATCCCGAGTTTGCAAAGGAAATCATCGACAGGCAATCTGCTTGGAGAAGAGTTGTTTGTCTTGCTATCAACTCAGGTATTAGCACTCCAGGCATGTCAGCCAGTCTGGCTTATTTCGACACTTACAGAAGGGAAAGAGTGCCGGCTAATTTGGTTCAAGCTCAACGAGACTATTTTGGTGCCCATACATATGAAAGGGTCGATATGGACGGATCTTTCCACACTGAATGGTTCAAAATTGCCAAAAAGCTAAAAGATTAAGGTTACTCTACTGGTACTTCTTCGGAACTTGCAATAAGTGTAATAATATCTGCTCTGAACTCTATGCTACACAGAGCTACAACTATGGTTATTTCTTTAAATTTTACCTTAATTTCACTCTGCGAACTCAGACCGTCTAAGAGTTAGTGTGGTAGACGTGGTACTGGTTTTTATGCTGTTTCCTGATCTGAATACGAATCAACCCGATGGCAAATGCGATATTTACCATATGAGGGTCACTGGAAGAGAAGGTTAACGTCTTTTATCATATGGTATGCATTGCACTGTTTCATTCTTGAACTCTAGAACTATCAAATTCCTTTCGAAACTCATAAAACTCAAAATTTTTCATATTAAATTATCATTGTGGTGGAATGTGCATAATTATGCCTCTGGTATACACTGAAAATGAATTTCTGCACAGTAAGAGAAACTGGTTGAGCTAAATCACAACCATTATCATTATTATGGTGGAATGTGCATAACTCTCTGTTGACTGCAGATTTTTTGCTGCTTCCAGATCCTTGTCTACATAGTATATGTATATATATATATTATGCCTAATAGGTTCATTTCTCATAAGAAGAGTGGCTCATATGGCAATAAGATGGAAGTTTATATTTTCATAAGGTGAACATTCTGTGTTTTCAGGCCTGTGACTTGACTGCCTAGCTGTTGTTGCACTTTGCACTTGCATTTCTTGGTATAGTATAAGTTAGAAATGGTCTGTTTGTCTTTTATTTGTCCTCATGGCTGTCATTTGTCCCCCTTTCCAGCACATTATGCTCTTTTTGTTCACTGCTGTGCACATACAGAAACATGAATCACATCTGCACTCTATGACCCCATGACTGATCCGATAACCGGGATCAAAATGCAATGTTTCGATTCATTAGCGAAACGCATGAAATGCTAAGGATGCCGTAATCTCGTTCTTGCGTTGATGTTGGAGATAAAACATTTGCTTTTGGAATCATAAACTCAGAACAATATCGTTTCAGTACCGAAACAAAGCAAGCAATAGATTGTAATCATGCATATATGTTCTTGAAAAGTACATTACAAGGCTCTCCACTGGACTCTGTTTGCAAGACTTGGCTTGACCACCGAGTCCCTTCTTGGATTTACCGGCTTTTTCCAAACTATTCTCCGTTTCTTTCTTCGACTCCCTGCGCGAAGAATGCTTGTTGGTAGAATTATACTTGTCATGCCTACCTTGACCATCCTTGTGCTTGTTATTCTGCTGCTGATGATGATGATGATGACTCGGGGCCGAAGAGGCATCCGATACCATCGAATCATCACTATTTCCCTCACCATCATAGGCATCATATCTGATATTGTGATTGCTGTTATAATTCTCTTCACCGCATTCGTAATCTTCTTCCATCGGAGAAGCCAAGTAGCTTGTCCACCCGGATTCACTGCTGCTACATTCTTCACGGCCGGTGAACTGTTTGAAAGGGTCTATTATAAGAGGTTAAAAGCTGGAGAGAGCTACATAGGAAAGAAACTAACTAATCTATCGTGTATGAAGAAACAGAAAACGATATATATATATATATATATATATATTAGGGTAAAGTACACAAATGGTCCCTTGATTATGAGGTATTGTTTTGTTGAGCCCCCAATTATTAAAAGTTACATAATGGTTTTTGTCTATTCATGTATTTCAAAATCGTCCTTTCTTGTTATCAATTCCTAACAAAGCATCATTCAGATCAATCTGCATGAGAATCGTTTGCATCTTCACCTCCCACAACGAGAATTTAGTGTTATAAACTAATAATCATACAATGAAATTTTATACTTCATAATTGTCATTATCATAATTGAACCAAATAATTTGGACGTTATGATACCAATTTATTATAGATAATTTCGAGTGAATTATCTCAAAATAATAAGAAAGAAAGATAAGAGCATATATTTACGTGAAAAACTCTAAATGAGAAAATTTATGAGTAGAAGAAATAAATTTCATTATAATAATCGATAAATTATAAAGACTTAATACCCAAATAAGTGCCTAAAATATGCCTTTAGAGTCAGATAAGTGCCTACATTTTATTGGCCGGGTGCCTAACGTTACAAACCTTAGCATTTTAGGTGTTCGAGCCGTCAACACAGTTAATTTTGAGTGTTAAGTGACACGTGTCACAACCTGATAATTTTAAAATTTATTTTTAAAAAACATATTAAAAACATTATTATATTTATAAAAAAAACCCTAACTTTTCTATATTATAAAACAGCCCCAAAATCCCAAATTATAACCTTAATCCGTCGTTGCTGCCCTCTCCGGCCACGACCACCATCACCGACGTAGTCCTTGCCATCATCCTAGTTATATGTCGTCGTAGTTGTTGTCGATTCACCATCGCAATCGCATGAGATCACAATTTTCATCCTAGGGTTTGCGGGATTTAAAATGTCGATTTGTCGTCGATCGGTCACGACTTCACAGGGGTTTTGGTCGCCGGGGGGGAGGGGAGGTCTGGTGGAGCTTCTTCGACGGCAAAGGGCGATGGTCAGCGCAGGTTTAGGGGTTGAAATGAAGGTTTTCAAAGTTTAAATGTTATTTCAAAATTCATGTGTCTTCTTTTCTAAAAAATTATATAATTTTATTTTTAAAATTTTATATAAAAATTTTAAAATTACCAGATTGTGACACGTGTCACTTAACGGGGAAATTAACACCATTAACGGTCCAAACACCTAAAAAGATAACGTTTGTAACGTTAGACACCCGAATTGACCAAAGAGTGTATGCACTTATTTGACAAAAAAAACATAATTTAGGTACTTATTTGAGCATTAAGCTAATTATAAAAGTATTACACAAGGGTACATCGAACCTTAGAACTCTAAAGCCTTTGAATGCACTGTAAATCTTTTTCTTCCTCGTAATTTATTTTTTATCAAACAGGTCGTACTATAAATTTTTCGAATCAAAACCCATAAAATTTAAATCACAAACTTTAAACAATCCCTTTAATCCCTCCAAATCACCCATCTGGACCGACTTTAAGGGGAGCACCATGAGCAACCGCGTAGAGCTCTCAATTTTTTGTATTTATAATTAGAGCCCCTAATTTTTATATTCATAAGTAGGTCCTTAAATTTTATGATTTAATAAATTTTTTAATTTTTAATCTCTCTCTTTTTTTTTATTTCTCTTATTGATTCATTTGATGTTGAATTAAATTTAAACAATTTTTTATATTTATAATTAGGCGTCCCCTATTTTTTTTATAATTTCATAAATTTTTAGTTTTTGACCCTCTTTTTTATTTGTCTTATTTATTCATTCAATCAATTTTGAATTACATATAATCAGTTTCTCTATTTTTTTCAAATCTTATCTTCAATTTATCAAATATTCTTTAATTTTTAGCCTTCTTCGATCTAATTCTGACAATAAAATAATATATAATTTATTTATTTATTTATTTATTATTAAAAATCAAACTATGTACCATACATGCATTCAATTTTTTTATATTTATTTTCTATTAATTGTATTTAAGGTGTTTTTTAATAAAATAATAAAAATAATATATTTCCACAAAATTTAATCATTTTCTATAATTTATATGTGTAATATTAAATTAATTATTCAAAATAACGAAATATACTTTATTTTATAAAGATAAATTTTTGACTTTTCATTTAGTACATTGAAAATGTCTGAGATAACTCTGTCACCCATCATCCATGAACATAGAAAGAATAAATCCCATCATCCAAGACTATCAAATAGAGTCGTTAACTAAATACATCACCAACAACACTATTCAAGCTATTAGTAGAGATGTTGTAACATGTAAGTATATACCATACTGGGCCAGAGCCGGAGGACAATGATGGTATGACCGATTGAAAGAATGTGTTTTTGGACTGTCATATTGTCTTTTCTTTGAGGAAGGAGACTACATCTGCCTTAAACAATCGGACAAAACACTTGACTTCGGTCGGGACTGGACCAAATAACAAATGATCTCCGACTATAAAGCACTGTTTGTTGAGACTTCTGATTATTAAAAGTTATAAGATGGTATCCTGATTATGAGACGTTACTTTGTTGAGTCTCCTGATTATTAGAAATTACAAAATAATCACTCGACTATTTCTATATTTCAAATTTGTCCTTTTTCATTAAAGATGATGGTCATTTGAGTTGGACGTTAATATGATCACCAAAATATGATAAAATCTGATCCTCGAATTGTTTGAGTTATATTTTGTGGATCGAATCTCTATTTATATTATGTCATCGAACCAGTGCTTAAAACATTATGTCGTCGAGCCAGTGTTTGAAAACAACGATGATGCCATAAGACATCACTAAAATATGATTTTATCATATCTCAATCATAAAGTCAACGTTCAAGTCAAATGACTGTCAATTTTTTAATCGAAAATGATGAGTTTGGAACATATGAATAGTTAGGATATCATTTTGAAACTTTTAATAGTCAAATGACTTAATAAAGTAACATCCTATAATAGGAGATCATGTTGTGACTCCTAACAATCAGATGATTTAACAGAACAACACCTATAGCTTCACCCATCTACTTATCACGTACACAAGAAATTAGAAGCAAAACAAACTAGTTAGGGAACAATGTTGGTTTTTGTCTTACTTCTACTTTCTCCTTGTCCGAAAGTTGCATGTAAATCGGAGTTTCTCACCCTTAAAAGTGAAGAAAAAGAAGAAGAAAACAAATGGATGGGGTTTGATGAAGTAGAGCTCTCTGAAACTGACATTGCACGTGTTCTTCGCGTTGCTTCTTCCATGTACAAGTGTATAAACCAGAAAATAAGTAATTATTTAAAAATACTAAAAAAATATGACTTTTTTTTAATAAAATAGAGGGTGATAGCTTGTGGGGTTGATCCCTTCTTTTATATATGAATGTGGGAACTTGCATTTGTGCCTTGTTATTCACCAAAAATTTTGAACTGTGTGTCGTTCTGTGCACATGTTTTTTCCTTATAATATGTGCAATTCATTCCTCTCTTCTTCTCTTCAGGGGTGAATTTGAATAAAATTCATAATTTATTGAGAAATTGTTGGGAAAAAAAAGATGGGAAGGCAGCCATGCTGTGACAAAGTTGGGTTGAAGAAAGGTCCATGGACTGCAGAGGAAGATCAGAAGCTTATCAGCTTCATCCTCGCCAATGGCCAATGCTGCTGGAGAGCTCTTCCCAAGCTTGCAGGTTAATAATTTTTCTGATTATTTAGAGAGAGAGTCATCGTTCGTTAATTGATTAACGGTCAATCGAAAATCGAACTTGGGCATTGGAATTTGCAGGATTGTTGAGGTGTGGGAAAAGTTGCAGACTGAGATGGACAAATTATCTTAGGCCGGACCTGAAAAGAGGACTTTTATCTGAATATGAAGAGCAAATGGTCATTGATCTCCATGCTCAACTAGGCAACAGGTTTGTTCATTTCCCATATTTTTTTATCCATGTTTACCTAATTATAAGATATTTAAGTAGCGGTCTGCTATCGAAATAACATTTTTATATAGTAGTAAAAGTATGGTTCGGAACTGTTAATATTACACAACCATGACACCTGCAATGACCATTGTTAGTGTCGCAATCTTAATAAACACAATGCAATCGTAATTTAAATTCATGCTAATTGTTTTACTATTGAAACCCAAATTTCTTTACTGTAGATGGTCTAAGATTGCTTCTCATCTTCCTGGAAGAACTGATAACGAGATAAAGAACCACTGGAATACACACATAAAGAAGAAACTAAAGAAAATGGGCATTGACCCTCTCACGCACAAGCCACTACAACAACAATCCCAGCAGGACAAAACTCCCAATGAGCTGCCTGAAGCATCTCTACAATCCACAATAACTGAAGCAAAGGAGGAAGAAAAGAGCATGACAAGCGCTTTTCTCGACGACCCGACGACGACGATGACCGTGGACGATACCGACGGTTTTTGTACCGACGAGGTTCCGTTGATCGAACCACATGAGATCTTGGTCCCCGTTGCTTGTGCTGAACCATCTTCGACCTCTTCTTCCTGTGATTCTTCCAAGTTCCTCGAAGAACTGCAGTTGCCTGATTTTGATTGGCCGGCTGATTGCAACACTAGTAATGATAATGACGAGAAATTGGGCTTGTGGAATGATGATTTCAACGACTGGGGGGATTTGCTATGTGATAGAACAAAGCTGGGTGTTGATGATGATGGTTCATTATCTTCTTGGACATTCATATGATTTGCATTTGTTTCGAATCTGGGTTTTGTTTGTAGATTTTGAGAATCGGATGTTATGGCATTCGAGAAAGGAAAATAAGTTATCGAGAATAAGTGGGAAAAACTTCATTACAGGTTTTTTTGTTGTTCTTCTTTTTCTTGTCCTTTTTTCCCCAGAAAGAAAATCATGTTTCTTTTTGTAAAATGATGAATTGAAGAAGAGAATTCAATGTGTTGTAAGCAATGTTATTAAAATCGTACCGGACCGGCCGGTTTGACCGGTTGAACTGTTAATCGGTGGTTTATCTGGTCCGATTAACTTCTAAAATCGGTTGTGCATAGAACCGGTAAAATCGAAGTGAACTGGCTGAAAATCGGCAAAATCGATGTGAACCGTCGGTTCTTCTTTTTTCTTTAAAAAAAATTAAATCAAACGACGTCATTTGTTAAACGAGTCAAGTCAAACTCGAGTACTGCTGAGCTCAACTCAAACTCAAAAACTTTAAAAGTAAGCTCAACTCGACTCAAAAACTCACGAGCTAAAAATTATCAAGTTCAACTCGAACTTAAAATATAATATTGAAACTTGAACTCAAAAAGGCTCGAATTCAAAAAAAATTTAGATGTTCGATTGAAGCATGAAATCCGAGCTCAATTGAAGCAAAAGAATGATTCGTTCTGTGCTCACCAAAAGGCTCTATGATTTTGAATGTCAAATTACCTCTAGTATTTATAGAAGTAAGTTGGGATGCTCTTCTATATTTTTTAGCCGTGAGAGATTGTTTTGTTCTCATATTTTTACTCTTTAGACTTTTGGGATGCTCTTCTATGTTTCTTAGCCATGAGGAATTATTTAAAAAAAAAATAAACTAAACGACATCATTTGTTATGATTTTTTTTAACCTCAAATTTATTTTTTGATTATAGTTATATAATTATATTTATTATTTAATATATTTTACCTTAAATATTATGTTATAGTTTATTTGAATTATTTTGTTTCACTTGATTTTATATTTTTTAACTTATATATATTATGACTTGTGATATTTTTATACCTCTTAATATTGTAAACTTAAAAAAGTATTATATATATTAATATTGCTTTGAATATTATATAAAATTTAAAAAAAATATTATTTTATATAAAATCTATTTTAACCCGGTTGAATCAGTACCTTCATCGATTTAAGGTCCGATCCGATTTTAAAAACATTGGTTGTAAGTATAATATTTTGATTTTTCTTTAGTCGGATTCAAACCTTGATATTTTTTTATAATTCTTTTATTAGGCAGAGAAGTATTATATTTATTAACTACAGTATTAAGTAATGCTCAATGGTTTAACCAACATTTTCAAGTGATGTAAGTAGGGCTGTAGGATCGAGGGTGCGAATGAGTGTCGGTGGTGTATTTTTAGAATTTTTTTGGTATTTTTGTTAATTATCTAATATCACGCTCTTTAAAATTTAATAACTTTGTACCAACAATTAGTTGGTTTAGTAGAATGTAGTACTAGAATCCTTAAGAAAAGTCGACTCCTAACCCAGTTGCTCCATTCGTAATCACTAGGGATGGGAATGAGACTCGAACCCGACCCAATTTTTTTAAAATTTTGTGTTCGTGTCGGGTTTTTTAAAGGTGATGTTCGGTCAGATTAGGGTAAAAAATATCCGACCAGAAAAAAATAATCTTACCTTATATATTTAAGAATAATTACAATAATATCCATCTATATATTAGTTTTTAATTAAATCACTATTTCTTTTGAATAAAAATAATTTTTTTATTATTTCTGATCGAGTCGGATCAAGTTTCGATTTTATCTCAAAAAGTCGGATCGGGTTTGAGTAGGATGGAGGGTATATATTTTTCGGGTCGGGTTGACCCAAACCCTACTCATGCCCATCTCTATTAATCACCAGGATTCAAACATCGACCTTACTTAAAGAATTTAGTGCTTCATCCCACTATACTAACTAATTGTTGGTAAATACTTTTATTATTGAGGAGAGTTGATGAGTTTTATATTATATCTTAGTTTATCTTATATTTTAGGTAGTTTATCAATGATTAAATTTTTAATTAATATGTATTCACTTTGACTTAATTTGGCAACCATTCTAACAAAAGATTGCCTTGTCGTGTTAGCCAAAACCGCAGATTTCCAGTAACAGTGACATTTGGTCCTATCGTCACTACATACGAATATATCAACTACACAGCTGGTTTGAAAACTCCATTCATCATGTTAACGTTCAGCTTAGACAACTGATAATTTTTTAACGAAAAATAATGAATTTTGAACATAATGAATAGTCGAGTGACCATTTTGTAACTTTTAATAGTCGAATGACTTAACAAAATAACATTCTATAATCGGAGGACCATTTTACAACTTTTAATAATAGATGACTTAATAAAACAATAATCTATAATCAGTGAATCATTTGTATATTTTACCCTATATTCTATTGATCATGTACGACCTGAGATTTTATTTGTGTCCATTACATAAAAAAATTTACACCACTAATACATGTATGTCCACCTTAAAAAAATATTTCTTACTGTAAATAGAACTAGAACCAATAGTCTAAGCGGTTTACTACTCATCGCCTATTAGTCTTTTATTTTTTAAGTGAAACTAGGTTATCTTTTGGTGAGAGTGACAGGTTGGACAAAACGTTTGTTATCTTTTGGTGGCCGGGAGGTGTTTCATAAAGTAGTGGCCGGGTTGGGTTAGAGTCTAGTGGAGTATATATTTTCGGGTCGGGTCGGATCGAGTTAGGTTGGATGAAGGATATAAAATTTTTGGGTTAGAGCCAGGTTCTGTTAGATGATGTAGATTTTTGGGTCCCGAGTTTCTTGCTTCTGATGTAAAGAACGATTTGTTATCGGATTAATGAATGAATGATGGGTACTCTTTTCCCCTTGTAGGATCCCAACCTTGTGTTGATAGAAGGGATTTTTAATGAGGCTCATATTTTCTTTCAAAAATAAAATAAAACTATTGTAGAAATGATTTTTATTAGTAGTATTATTATTTTTGTCATTGACAAAATTAAAATGATAATAAATCTTTTAATCATTTTAATTTTTTTTAAAAATATGCAAATAGTAGTTGACATTATTATAATCATGTTGGTAGGGAGAAAAGCTCCATCGATGGTATGTGCTAATTATTGTAGAAATAGTGTATTAAATAATATTTCAAAATCATAAAAATATATCCATGGATTTAATTTTATCCAACTTGTGCAAATGGGTAGAGTATAACAATTAACTATAAAAATTGGTCAAACAGATGGCCATTAATCAAATATTAATTTAAAACAAAAGAAAAGGGTTGAAACTTACAAGTCTCCTAAACAAGCTGGAATATAAACTCGTGATATAAACTATAATTTTGTGTTTGATGGAATCCAAATCTATATTTTAAAATGTTCTATTATTGAGATATATAATTTGGAGAAGATAAACTTCTGAAATAACGATGATCGGAGTTTATTTTTTAAAATATGATAGTTTTTATGGTGAATAACAGAAGACGCGTGAAACACTTAAAATCTTCATGAAGACGCATGAAAGATTCAGTGTCTTCGTTGTTGGTAAAATAGACTGCTGCAAAACGAGGCGTTAGCAATGACTGAAAAATATTAAATAAAATAATCAAACAGAATGATAACCGTGTCGTGGTAAAAACCACTGCCTTAGAAACGAATTCGCCCCGATGTGTGTAATCGCTACAGTAGGCGGATCGTTCCCCCGAGGTTAACACGGCTCTCCAAGAATCCGTACACCCGAAAACTGGAGTGAACTTGGTGATATTGCTATTCTCTCAACTCAAACAACACTTAAAAGAGAGGAATGTTTTCAACGCAAATGTTTTGCTTGGGATCATTAAAATGAATGAAATTGCTCTCTATTTATAGGCTAAATAGCGAATCAAATTATCATTTCCAATACTAGTGGAATAACCTAATTTTAGCATTATCATTATCAAAATTGAGCATTATCAAGAAATGACAATTTACAATGCTAGTTGAATTAGCATTATCATTATCAAAATTGAGCATTATCAAGAAATGACAATTTACAATGCTAGTTGAATTAGCATTATCATTATCAAAATTGAGCATTATCAAGAAATGACAATTTACAATGTTAGTTGAATTAGCATTATCATTATCAAAATTGAGCATTATCAAGAAATGACAATTTACAATGCTAGTTGAATTAGCATTATCAAGAAATGACAATTTACAATGCTAGTTGAATTAGCATTATCAAGAAATGACAATTTACAATGCTAGTTGAATGAGCATTGTACAATACTCAATTTGAGCATTATCAACATTCGTCATGCACCCTACTTAGTTGGTTCGTCTGCACCTTCTTCATTCATTTTGAGCCGTGCAGAAGACGTCGAGTCTTTCATGCTGTTGATGAAGATTCAGAATAGTTCACGCGTTTTTCGTGTAATACTCTAAAGATCATCTTATTTAAAAAAAATAAATAAACAAATAAACTGGGGTGACAGTTATATATAAAAAAAATCTCCTGTTTATTATCTTAGTGATTTTTCCAATTTCAAACATTTCTATAAATATGTTGGTGCTAATTTATGGACGATTGTGAATTGAGTAAATTGAGTTGGGATGGTCGTCATTGTCTTTGCAGTATCCGATCCAAATTAGTCGATCAATAGAGCGGATATCGGTGGTTAAACAAATTAAGCTAGTTGGTTGATCGTCTATTTACAAGTTAGGTTGGAATATAAAAATGTGTTTGGTCAGCAGTTAGAGTTGAACCACGATTGAATCAGTGAATCAGTACCTTCATCGATTTAAGGTCTGATCCGATTTTAAAAACATTGATTGTAAGTATAATATTTTGATTTTTCTTTAGTTGGATTCAAACCTTGATATTTTTTTATAATTCTTTTATTAGGCAGAGAAGTATTATATTTATTAACTACAGTATTAAGTAATGCTCAATGGTTTAACCAACATTTTCAAGTGATGTAAGTAGGGCTGTAGGATCGAGGGTGCGAATGAGTGTCGGTGGTGTATTTTT